AAAATACATTTTGTGTGTGTGTGTGTGTGTGTGTGTGTTGTGTGCCATGGGACGTTTGTGGAGATCACAGGGCTACTTATGAGAGACTATTGTCTCCTTCCACTATGTCCAAGGGTATTGAACTCAGGTCATCAGGCTTGGTGGCAGGTACCTTTACACACATCTCCCTGGCCCATATACTTGTTTTTACTACATTAGACAAGTTGTCTTTAAATTAACAACACTATATTGTTTGCATATTTTATGTCAATCCTCAGGCCGAGTCACAGATGGGCGATATGGGTTTCAGAAATCTTTCTACAGTCATTGAGCCTCAGAACATCTTCAGAGAAATGAAAACAATGTTGTAATACATGGAAAGCTCTGTCCTTTCAAGAGAAACCCCTGAAGCCACATTTAATTATAGCTTCTAATTAAATTGAGTCATAAATTTAAGTAAAATACATACTATTATTTGTAATATTGGCAAAAAAAAATGACAGATTTGTGTAATAGAAAGGGTCAAGTTAATAGAGTCCCCCTAAGGAAAGCTGAGACCCAGAGGCAAAATTTTAATTTAAGTTTTTTTTTTTTTGTGTTCACTGATTTCTCTCTCACTTCTTGAATAGCTTCCTCTAAAACACCAGCTGTGGGTTAAAACATGAAAATCTCAGTTCTCATTAAACCACAGAAAGCTTCTTGGGTTGTGTGCCATGCCCTTTCAGCTTTCCTGCCTCTAGGGGGAAGTGTGTTTTCAACAATTCTGTCTCCAGGAGGTGAGTTCTTGTGCGTTAATGCTTCACTGTGGTGTTATCTAGTGTGACTTCGGATCGGCTGGACAGTCTGCAAGGACCCTCACTTTACAGGTGTTAGCCAGGGTTCTGAGGCAGGGGGATTGTAGAGAAAATGCCCCAGATATTTTTACTGCGTTTCAAAATATCATGGCAACGTCTCCACGTGGCAGTCTTTCCTGGAGACAGCAAATAAACATGTGGACACGAACTTCACTCCATAGAACTAGAAACACAATAGAGCCTGGATATTGATGAAAACATCTCTGAATTCTAGAAAAGCCTATGAGTGCCTGTAATATCACATTTAACAATAATGTGTTTAGGCTTTCGACTGGCTAATCTTATCCCTTTGTTTTCTTTGACAATTGAAGTTGATAATTGAATTCTGAATGTAAAAAACATGGTCCCCTCCCCCAAAAGGAGCAATACTTAAAACCTGAATTCAAGGCGATTTCTGTTTTTCCCTTTTCTTTCTTCTTTCCTTTCTCTCTTTCTTTCCTTCCTTTCTTGTTTTGTTTATAATTATGATTAAAATATTATAAAAGTTATATTATCAAGTGGTGTTATTTTCAGTTTTACTCTTCTGGAAAGCCTGAAAACTTATTTTTACACAAGTGGGTATATATATGTGTATGTGTGTGAGTGTATGAGTGAGCATGTGTGTATGAGTATGTGTGTATGTGTGACTGTGTGTTACTAGGCACTGAACTTATCTCAGGCAAATTCCATATCCCCTGCTGTCTCTCTCTCCTTCTCCCCCGGCTCTCTTTCTTTCTCTCTTCTTCTTTTTTTATTTTGGTTTTTCGAGACAGGGTTTCTCTGTGTAGCTTTGCGCCTTTCCTGGAACTCGATTTGGAGACCAGGCTGGCCTCGAACTCACAGAGATCCGCCTGGCTCTGCCTCCCGAGGGCTGGGATTAAAGGTGTTCGCTACCACCGCCTGGCTCTCTCTTCTTTTTTAATCTTTTATTTGGTGACAGGATCTTATAAAATTAAATCGCACAGGTTGGTCTTGAATCACTGTGTGGCCCAGGCAGCCTTTGGATTTGACACCTCCCGAGTAGCTGGAGTTTCAGGCCCAGGTCACCAGGTCCGGCTATAAGTGTGATGATACAAAGAATGCCACTTACAGTGGGGATCAGCTTGGTTACCAAAAAAATAATCCTCAGGGGACAAAGAGGCATTTAAGCATACCTTGTACACCTTTTGAGCCATGGTTCTTCAACTATAGAAGCAGAGATGTCTTTTCCGGCCTGAGAAGGCAGAACGACCTGATAGTCACACATGATAGTTCCCGCCGGTGCCTAAAGAACTCTCTGAAGCAAATAAACCCTCCTTTCTTAAACCCATAGGCTTGTCTTACTGTTTATAATCTCGTGCTTGTTTGCGTTTGAAGACACTGTATTATTTATTTATTTATTTATTTATTTATTATTTTCAAATCCCAGCTTCTGTTCATCTGGAACCTGCAAGGATGTGTTGAACACAAGGCCAGCAACATTGTGACCCCCTCCCCGCTGTTTCTGGGCGGATCCACAGCTTCCTCTTGTCTGTGCTCTTTAGTAACAAGTTGGAAGCTGAGCGCTCCTACCCAAAGGCCACAGGGAGGCTATGGTCCTAGCCATAACGTAATCGCACTGCCCTGCTGTTGACCCAAGGGCGAGGCTGGGCAGCGCCTGAGATGCGAGAGGCACTCACACAGGGTGCCACTGAAATCCCAGACTCTTCTAGCGAGCCCACACCGTACCCTGCAGAATCATATCGCTGTTGGCTGGTGTTCTCCAGACACAGGGCATACCGGGTGGTAATAGGAAACCTCCGTCCCTCATGTCTCCTGGCAACCAGTTGGAATCCACTAAGACCCTTGGAATCCAGGATTTAACTGTTGTCTTTTTTTTTTTTCTTAAATAACTATGACCCTATAAACAAATGTTTGCTCTCCCAAGAGTTCAGGAAGGATTTAATTGCCGTAAAGCGCTAAATGTCAGCTTCCACTGTGCGTGGATAACTCTTCAGAATTAAATTTTATATAGAAGCCTCTTTTAGTACTTGCTAGCAGCTCTAATTAAGTAAACAAAAGCTCACTCAGGATTTAGAAACTCCTACTTAACAGCGAAGGTTTAGGGAGCATAGTGCAGAACTAAAATCTTAATGGCTCCGGGTACGCAAAGTTACCCGGAATTACATTTTCACTGCTAGAAAGGGCGTTGGAGGTCGGAAGTGCTGATGCCCGGAGTTGCCATGTCCCCAGACATCTCAGTTTGCCATTTCATAGTCACAGATGAGAGCAAAGACACTTCGGGAACGTGTGTGTGTGTGTGTGTGTGTGTGTGTGTGTGTGGTGGTCTTGGAATTAAAAAAAAAAAAAAAAAAAAAAGCACCCGGGGCAGCGGGTGAAGAATCTCTAGCAAGTTTCTGCCGAAAGAGGGCGTACGTTTTAGCCTAACAGAATTCTTGCACACACCGACGCCCAGCTAAATGAAAGAACTTTTAAAAACATTTTACATTAACTTTAATCTGCGGGACTTTAGTGTCAGAACTACCTCGTGCAACCCAGCCTGTTCCCACCGCAAATGTCTTTGCTGCGTGACCACGAAAAGAGGGTGCACGTCCTTTTGGACCTGCGCAGCTGCGCGGTCCTGCGCGCCGCGCCTCTGGTCTGGGACATCGCCACAAGCGTTTCTACTCGGTCTGCATCGCTGTGGTAGTTGTGACCAGTGGGAAGATTGGGTCTCCCAGGCAGGACCTTTCTGGGCATCCTGGAACAGAAGCGGCTGGATCTCCCAGCACTGGGGTTGGAGCAGACTGCTGTTCGGTACTTAGGGATTCTCTGGGGAAGATTTTTTTTGAGGGTGGGGGACGACAGTCCCTTTTAGTTACCGGATTTAGCAAATAGAAACTTGGGGGGAGGGGGGTGCTTTTTAAGGTCTGTGACACTTCCTGGAATGGAATCATTTACCCACCATTGGAAGCAACAAGTTTCGCTTTTCTGGTCTTGGTGACCCTCCCTGCAGAGGGTCTGTGCCCTGAAACACGGCGACGGCTGCGGTCGCTGAGATTCTAGCGTGCCCCAGCAACCCGGAGGGAGAGGACCCACGCCGGGTGGGGGAAAGACGGGTGCGGAAACCGCCCAGGCCAGATGGGCATACCAGGTCGGCAAATGAATCTTCCTGCACTGGGACCGTGTTCCTTGCTCCCCGACCTTGCTCCGGGGACCTGTAAGGTCAGGTGTGGGACAGGACTGGGTGCATCCAAACAGAACGAGGCCGGAGCAAGAAAAGAGGTGAGAGCGAGTGAGACCTATGGAATTTTGCACCGAAGCCACCAATTTGGAACCCCCCCCCTCCCCGTTTTTGCAGCGCGTGTGTATGCCTGTGTGTTTGTGCATGTGTGCGCGCGCATTTCTTTCCTTTCAAACATTTATACATTTTTTTTTTTTTTTTTTAAAGCCAGAGGCTAGAGAGAGCAGAGCCGGCGAGAGGCGGGGACCTTAGAGTCGCGCCGCGCCGCGAGGGCTCCCGCGGGTGTAGACGTGGGCGGCTGCGGCTTTGAGCCAAAGCTGAGCACCGGCAAGGAGTGGGGCTTAGGGACCCGGCAAGCGCGAGTAGGCCAGGGGTGCGGGGAGGAGCCCTGATGTAAGAATGCTAATGAGAGGCTCCCCCAGCCCAGCCCCCACCCCTCCCCACCCCCACCCACCCCACCCGCTGCAGAGACAAGCCCGGCCTCGGCGCGCCATGTGTGGTAACGCGCTCCGCCGCTGCCACGCTATTTAAACACCGGCTATGGATCCAGGAACCCGCGCGAATCAATGGGATCAAACGCGAAGGAGGTGCACCGTCAATTACAAGCACCTGGACAAGTCTAACTTTTATTTTTTCTTTTACAAATAACGCCTTCAAACGCAACCTTAGCAACGCCCAAATAAGAAGCCACCTCTAAAGCCAAATAGCCTATGAGCAAAGGGAGGGAGAATATATATTTATAATAAGTCTATATGTATATTACAGACGCACAGGTTTACATTCGGTGAACTTTTCTTTTTTTTCTTTTCTTTTTCTTTCTTTCTTTGCTTTTTTTTTTTTTTTTTTAAATTTGAAAACCCAGGGACACTGCAGAGGACTCTTCCTCTCTCTTTCTTTTGGCGCGTTACTCAAGGGGGTATTCTGTATTTTTTTTTTTTTCCGGAGCGCCCAAGGGGGCGCAGGGACAGAGGCAAGAAGAGTAAGGGAGGAAAGAGGCAGGGTGGGCGGGGGGCAGAGGGCGAGCGGGCGGCCAAGGCGAGGGCTTGCTGGCAACACGATGCGGTCCGTGCTGCTGCTCACTTTCTCGGCGTGCGTGCTGCTGGCCCGGGCGCTGCTGGCTGGCGGTGCGGGCGGTGGCGGTAGGGACACGGGGCCAGGCAGCGGGCGCCGGGAGAGAGAGGCGCTGGCGGCTCAAAAGATCGAGGTGCTTGTGCTGTTGCCCCGGGACGATTCGTACTTGTTCTCGCTGGCCCGGGTGAAGCCGGCCATCGAGTACGCTCTGCGGAGCGTGGAGGGCAACGGCACCGGGAGGAGGCTGCTGCCTCCGGGCACTCGCTTCCAGGTGGCCTACGAGGACTCGGACTGCGGCAACCGTGCGCTCTTCAGCCTGGTGGACCGCGTGGCGGCGGCGCGCGGCGCCAAGCCGGACCTCATCCTGGGGCCGGTGTGCGAGTACGCGGCCGCGCCGGTGGCCCGGCTGGCGTCGCACTGGGACCTGCCGATGCTGTCTGCGGGAGCGCTGGCCGCCGGCTTCCAGCACAAGGACACGGAGTACTCGCACCTCACGCGCGTGGCGCCTGCCTACGCCAAGATGGGCGAGATGATGCTGGCCCTGTTCCGCCACCACCACTGGAGCCGCGCTGCCCTGGTCTACAGCGATGACAAACTCGAGAGGAATTGCTACTTCACCCTCGAGGGGGTCCACGAGGTTTTCCAGGAGGAGGGCTTGCACACGTCTGCCTACAATTTCGACGAGACCAAAGACTTGGACCTGGACGACATTGTGCGCTACATCCAGAGCAGTGAGCGAGGTGAGCAGGAGCGCGACCTGGGCCCTTGGCTCCGACCCAGCGGTTCTCGGTGGCTTCCCCCCACCCCCACAAACCCCATCAACTCAGCCTTTTGCAGATCTCACTCTGCCCTGAAACCCCAAGGGCCCGAGGAGGGTGCGCGCGGGGACTTGTTCAGGTGTGAGCTGCCTGACCCAGGGGCGGGTTGAGGATAGTCCGTCGCGGTGGAAGGGGTGTGCCTAGAGAGTCTTGGGGAGGTGGACCTGGCCATTAGAGGGAACGTTTGAGCTTACTGCTAGCGCAGTCCCAAGTATGACAGGTGTTGTCAAACACCAAGGATTTCCCCCTCTTCGACAGCTCCGGGGTCCCAAGCCGTCCAGGAATTTGTCACCCTTGTCCATGGCTGTCGCGCGCCCCCTGATAGGGCGACGCCCGGCAGCGGCGCGCAGCTTTCTGACTACCTGGGGGTCTCCTGGCTTCCCTGGCTGCTCTTTCCACAGACCCCAGGTCTCCTTTAAAGGCTCTTTGTGTTACTCTTCCATGCCCCTTCTAGTCTCATATAAACAAGCTTCTGTGGTTTCCACCAAAGTGCGTCGCTGTGTCTGGACTCAGGCGACACTCACTTCCCCTGGGTGCGTTGGGCTTCGCAGACTCGGAAAGAGCGCAGAACTGGGCTTGGCCCGAGCGCGCGGCGGCAGGATCCGGTGCTGAGCCTCCTTCCCACGGGTCCCCTTCCCGGGCTTTTCTCTCCGGAGTAGCTGAGGGCTTGGAACAATAGCCAAACTAGACAGAGAGCTTAGGACTGGAGGTTGCGTGTCCGTAGTGTAGACAGCTGAAGGACCCGAAATCCACGCACAGGGCAGTGAGTTGGGGTGTCCCGGGTGGGGTTCACAACACTGAGGGAAATCCCGCCTGTGTTTTCCCTTGGTGCGCAGGCGCCCGGAATGTCCGTGGTATTCCCTCCTCCTCCCCTCCCCGCAAAGCTTGCGATGCTCCGGGGTGCTGTCCGGGTGAGACCTAGGGGGACCCGAGCCAGCTAGGCATGCGGCTTGTCCGCAGTTTGGACGCCGGGGAAGCTGGGTCTGCCTGTTGTGGGACAGCTTAGCATGAAGCTTGGAGACTCAGAACAGGTGAGGTGGGCAGAGAAAGCTTCAAGAGTGGCGCCACAGCGGCCCCTCTCCCGGACAAGTTTGACCGTATAGAACTCCAGGCTGTCTGCGCAGAATCATTGTTAGGTGCTCAGGCAGGGCACTGGTTATGTAAAAGGCGAGTTCAGTCCCATGGTGGCAGATTTGCCCCTACTGGGCGAGAAAGCACATCAACTTTTCTCCCATTCTCAGTCCTCAGGTTATTGCAACCTCTTACAGTACTGGTGCTCCTTCAGTTCTGGGCTTCCAGAGCCTGGAGACTCCCTGGGCCAGGCTGGGCATGGGGGTGTGTCCTCCTCCTGGCTAGATCCGAGGTCTGCAAACCCTGTCATGGCCTCGTTGACCCCAGTGAGGTGATGACCTTGGCACGGTGGCCTGCGATGGATGGGAGGCCTGGCAGATCTGTCTGTCCTTGCTGTGTGGCCCCAGAGCTGCCTTGGTGCTGGGAGGGCCACAGTGTGATGGCGGGCTCAGGGACTGCTGTGTCCTGGTTTAAAAGGACTCCATCCTGCATGCTGCCCATGTTATTATTTTTAAACACACCAAGCTTGGTGGATATACTCAGACCTCTTCGCTTTTATTTCCCCTTCAGTTTAGTGACCAAAGTTTGCTAGACAGGTGTGGCAAGGTTATGATCGGATGATTCTTTCCCTAAAACCTGCCCTAGCAGTGATATGGCAGATTTTCCAAAATCTAAATAAAAGTAGCCCCCCCCCTTACCCTCCTCTCAATTTCCTACTCTTTTGTAGAGAAAGTTGTAAGCTCTCAGGGTGCTTCCTGTAGCTCCGAATCTTTACTTCACCACGGGCAGTCAAGGTGTTCACTAGGGGTTTAGTGTATGCTCTAAGTAGAGTTTGTGGCTCAGCCACTTGCTAGCTGCCAGGATCTTGGGCTGTTAAAGTGTACCCCAGGCGTTCAGGTAAAGCAGGCTTCTGTAACAGCCACAGCTTGGGGATTCTGGGAGGGTTTAATGAGCTAGGCCACCAGAATGCCCTGAAACAATGCCAGACCCATGAAGGAAATGTGTGGCTTCCTTGTAGTGGGTGTTGTTTTATATATAATAATCACCTTCACCTAGAAGGGGAAGCCATATCCTGGGAAGCACGCTAGGCCGAGAAGCACACATCTCTGGATGCAGCTTCTCTGCCTTGCAAGGCGTTGAATTTGGAATGTGTTTCTTCTGCGAAACAAGGAGCTGGATGAGAACTTGGGATTCTTCCAACTGATATTGAGGTCTGGATTGTGTTGACCCAGATGTAAAAATGTAGCATAGCATCCTGCCACAGAGGAGCTTCTGTCCTTATGAGCCCTCCCCACCTCCTCTTTTTGGAAAGAACATTTCAACATTAAAATCAAATTATGGATATCTGAGTATCTTTACTGGTAAAAAGTGACCTGTGGCCATCTCAGTAATAATGTAACTAAATTTTCTTACGGCTACATGATGCCCTTTAGAAAGGAAAACTAAAAACCAACCAACCAACCAACCAACCAACCAACCAACCAACCAACCAACCAACCAACCATGCTCTCTCTTAATCCAAGTAATTCTTATCTCCTAGGGTTTACCATCTAAGTCAGTAATTGAAAAACTTTAAAAAGTTTAATATAATTAAAATGCATATACCTGAGCGTGTGTGATTTATTAAAACACCAGTGGGATCTTACAGCATGCATTTATACTAGTGGCTAAGGAGATGGCCCAGGATGATTCCTTAGGTGATGTCTTGCTAGCTTTTTAAAACGCTTAGGATTTTTCTATTTCAGGTACTAAGGATATTCTAAAAACACTTTAGGAAATAGATGTCTGTGGCAGAAATACACACACACACACACACACACACACACACACACACACACACACTTAGATGGGTGTGGTGGCACATGCCTGTAATCCTAGAATTCAAGAAGCTGAGTCAAAAGAATTGTGAGTTCAAAGTCAACCTGGGCTATAGAATGTACCCTGCTATCCCAAAGTACAAACAAAGAAAAACAACAGACAGATGTGTTTTACTTATTACTGGATTCACTTGTATAGCTGGCTACTGACCTCGATATGTCAGATGAAATGATACATTTGCCATCAAAAGGACAGAGAGATGCATTTTCAAGCAGTGGAAGGTCATAGTTGTTTTGTTTATGTGTTTTCCAAGATACAGAACTAGAAGTGATCTACACACAAATGATTTTGTGTGAAAACTAGTTTTATTCTTTTAGTGATTGCTATGTTACTTCCTTGGGCCTAGATAATGACTATAGAGATAGAAATATTTAAAGAATACAGGAACAACTTAGTTTTAGTAGTCTGGTGTAAATGACCTAATAATTTGTCAGCAGAATTTTTAAGCAAAGAACCCATCATAAATCTACCTAGCACACAGTACCAGGATAGAAAAGTGCTACAGTCCACAGTGTGGAAACTACAAGAGCCTTGGGAGTGGATAGAGCTTTGTCAACAGCAGAAATAAGGGCGTGGTCTGTATTTTGTAAACAACATCCCTTGCTATGTAGTGTAGAAACAGGAAAAACTGTTTTAGAAAGAAATCAGATTTTTATTCTTATCCAAGTTAGGTATCTGACCTTACATCTCTATAAGATCAAAAATGACACGTCTTATCTGGAAAAAAATTCCTTATCACTTACTCCCTGTTTGGGACCTACCATCGTTTCTGAGTCTTGTGGATGCTCTATAGCAATTTGCCTTTAGAACTCCAAATAATATGCTACTTTTGGTTTTATTTATTTATTTATTTATTTTACAGTTTTAGGTTTTATCTCTTGGAATGCCGGTAGAGAATGGTTGAGTTCTCCACTAACACCTACTACCCACTAACTACACATGCACGTGTTTCCCTCGGTCCATCCCTCTAATACAGTCATGCCAGCCATTTTTGCTTAGCTCTGCAGTCAGTATTGATATTTACATTACCTTCTAAAAGCTGTTCACGGTTGATCCAGTTGGAGTTATTTAAAAAAGGCCTTTTTTTTTTGGTTCCGTCTCCTGTGGACTGACTGCTTGAATCATCTGTAAATTCTCTATTCCAGGCTCCTGAGCTGCTTCAGCTTAGTCATTTTCTTGGCATCCTGTACCTATCATCACTCTGACCTCTCTTTTTGAGCCTGTTCCCTGCCTTGTTTTGGTGGACCACATCCTTCCAGGAGCTTTCTGACAAAGGATGCATGAGAGATACATTTTGAAATGTTTCACGACTGAAAATTTATTTATGTTGCCCTTATACATAATTGTAAAACTGCACAAAAATTCCATGCTATAGATAATCCTCCCCCTCAAAATTTGCTATCATTACTCCCTTGTCTTCTAGATTCTGAAGCTGCTGTTAGTTTGAATTGGTTTAGATTCTGGACTTAGTGTTTATTATTCCTCCCCCACCCAGAAAATGTTAGACTCTTCTTTTTGCCCTCTGTAGCCTAGCACTTGACCACGGCACACATTGCTGCCAGTGTTTTGCTTATGCCTTGGTAGGCACCATGTCCTCAGAAACTCATGTCTGTTAATTCTAAGACAACTTCTTAAATGATTTCTTTGATAATTTTATTTCCTTCATCTTTACTATGTATTGTTAGCTTGATGTCAGACCATCTGACTGATTCTCTACATTTCTTCTTCCCTACTTTTTGCCCCCTTAATGAAAACAAATGCCTTTTTGTTTGGCGGGTTTCTTTGGGCTGCTCTCGAAATTACTATCCCATTTAAAATGTTTAGATTTATTTTTGTATTATTTTATGTGTATGAATGTTTTGCACGCCTGTATGTTGTGTATCACACGTGTGCCTGGTGCCTTGGTGCCCGAGGTGGTGATGAGCCTCCATGTGGGTGCAGGGAATCAAACCTGAGTCCTTTGCAACAATAAGTGCTCTTAACCACTGAGCCAATTTTACTTTTCATTTCTGTGATCACACTTTCTGTGTGATTAAATATTTCTATCTCTATAGTCATTATCTAGGCCCAAGGAAGTAACATTTCAACTTTAAAATCAAATTATGGATATCTGAATATCTTTATTTAGGATCCCAAGGAAATATCCTTGGGCCTAGATAACTCTGCTCTGCCTCCAGGCAGTAGCTCCCGTCTCCTGTGTGTGAGTGTAGACCTACAGGAACATGAGTGTAAGATTCAGGTGGAGAACGTGGGAAATGCCCTTTTTATTGTTCCTTTGAACTAGTTGGAAAGCATGCATTTAAAAATGCTGCCAAAGAGGTCTCCTCACCATCCACTGTAGGTAGGGACAGCCACACACCATAGAGAGTGTCACTTACTTGAAAGTCCTCTTCCAGGAGCAACCCTCTACCCACATGTCAACTGTAGCCTACAAAGTGTGCTGTGTGCAAGTGGAGATACCTCAAAAGAGAAGAAAGAGCCCGGCATACCTCTCCTACTCTTCCAGACTCACCAATAAGATAATTCACTACTTTCTCTCTTGCTGGGACTAGTGAGGGGACACATGAAAGCCCTTGAGAGACATGCAGATGCTAGTTCTTTGACCTCAGGGTACAGTCTGTTCTCTCCTAGGGCAGGTATAGCTCTCAAAAGGATGCTTAGGGTCCACACCCAGTGCCTTTGGATACTTGAACCACCTCACTGGCTTCTATGATTCATATTGCCCCCTCTGTAGCATCCCACTACTTACAATTTGGCTCCCCAGTTAGCATGCCTGGATACAGGAGATATTGACACAAGTGTATTCATGATCCTTCTGGCTCCCCATAGGACGTAAGCGACCCACAGTTCTGACAATCTGTTTATAAATATCATGCAGGCTATGTGCCCAACGTACCAGCAGAATCAGTTTCTACAAGTGGCTACTGAGAGACACTCAACTCTAGACAACTGATGCCAGTTGATAAGGGCTCCTTAGTAGACAGCCAATCAGAGCTTCCTGGGTCGCTCCGGAGATGCCCACTCTCGGAGTCCATGCTCTTCGAACTTGCTCAGCAGTAGCCTCTTGTTGGCTATTTTACGAGATACCCATGGAAGGGGCTTGATCTAAAATGAGGGCCCAAGTTAGTAATTAGGAGTTTCTTTGAGAGCTTCTTTATTGAGACATCACGGGATTTTTCTAAAATCCCAAATGTATAATTATATTTCCAAAAGAAACAACACCTACTCTCAGAGTTATGGACTTCAAGAGTTAGGCATTGTCTCGAAAACATGTTTTCTAAAGTGCTGGTGCCCTGTGCATGAAGGCTGTCTGTGGTTAAAAATGTCGGCCATAGCCTGACACTCTGAGCTGATGTGTACAGCGAATGGTGTATATCAGCAGGAGTCCAGGCCTCTGTGCAGAGTGTCAAGGCTGTTCGGGCACAGCCTGCGATCTGTTTTATGTCTTTTAGCACCCCTACTTTTACAAAGAGCACACACATCTCAGAGGGCTGGTATGCATCCTGATAAGGCCATTTGCAAGCACCTAGGCTTCTGTGGGTCTCCTCACACTCTGTGTAAGAGGCAGATACGGTTCTCCTGGTCATGGGGCCTGCGAGCCCAACACCAGCAGATCCACTGGACAGTGGCCAAGTCTCCACTTCATTCTGCCCTGTGTCACTCTTAGGTCACGGGCAGCCATCTCTTAAAGCTATTTAGAGCCTCTTGTATTTGACAGTGTGACTACACACTGAGAGAACATGGAAAGCGAATGTGTGTGTGTGTGTGTGTGTGTGTGTGTGTGTGTGTGTGTGTGTGTGTGTATGCTGAGATTTTTTTTGTTGTTATTTTGTTTTTTCGAGACAGGGTTTCTCTGTGTAGCTTTCCTGTGTAGCTTTTCTTTGCGCCTTTCCTGGAACTTGCTTTGTAGACCAGTCTGGCCTCGAACTCACAGAGATCTGCCTGGCTCTGCCTCCCGAGTACTGGGATTAAATGTGTGCGCCACCACCGCCCAGCTGCATTCTGAGATCTTAATATCTATTTCCTCTGTGTGTTGGGACTCCTTCAGAATAATGTCTGTAAATGAACACAGAAGAAGGTGTATACCCATGGCTGATTTGCCAGAGGTTCTTTCTGAACGCACCCACCCTGCTTTCCCTGGAGAATGTGTTCACTGTGTTACTAAGAATGAGTAATCGTCATTCTCCCCTGTCTGTTTTCATTTGCTTTGTTTTTGAGGCAGGGTCTTACAATGCAGCTCAGGTGGCCTAGAGCTCACTATGTAGCCCAGACTACCCTGAAACTCATGGCAATCCTCCTGCCTCAGTCTCCCTTGTACTGGAATTACAGGCACAAACCACCATGCCCAACTCTTCTTGCTTTATAGACTTCACTCAAACTTCACCAATTGTTATTACTTTGTCATTTTGTCTTAACATTTTGCATATCTCCCCTCTCTTTCCTCTGTCTTTTCTGCTTTACTATGTATGTATGTATATATATGTATATATATATATGTACTAATAATTAACAAACCATCCATCTACTCATACATCCATTGTCTATCTATATCTATTTGTTTTTCAGACAAGGTCTCATTATATACCCCTTGAACTCATGATTCTTCTACCTCTGCCTTCAAAGTTCTGGGATTACAGACACGAACCACTATTATATGAATACTATTGGTATGCGTTTGTATAAACATACATATATACAAAATTACAAATATTATGTTATGAAATGTTTGAGAATAATTTACAGGATCATGCTTCTATATCACTAAACACATTTCCTTTTTTGAGACAAAGTATTATTTAACACAGTCTGGCCATAGATTTCAAGGATGACCCACACAGAGCTGAGGTTACAGGGGTATACCACTGTACCCAGTTTTCTGTGGTGCTTCGGACCAAATCCATAGCTGTTGGTACTCTAAGCAAGGACAGACTGAGTCACATCCCCAGCTTTCTCAAAACATTTAACAACAAGGATATTTACATAAATAACTGCAGTAGTAGTCCTGAAAGACAAAGGCTTTAACGCAAACACATCCTGCTGTCTAGCTACCAACCTTAAGTCAAATTTCACCAACTGTGAAATGTCTCATGATATCCTTACAGAAGATCTTTTACTTGTATTTTAAGGAGCATGGATGAATCATTCATCCTACCATCTCTTAGGTTGGATTTGTAGCTGCTTCCTCTTGACCAGATGCACTTTGCCTGTTTGTATATTTCTGGCCTTCTGTGTGTTCCACCAGGAGGTTACTGTGTCTGTGTTCTCGTAGTGATGCTGGCTCCTAATGCTTGGTTATGGTGTTGTTTGCTAAGTTTCTCTAAGTTAAAGTTATTGTGCATTTCTTTTATCTATGGTATCGTCTTAGGATTTAGCTACCCATAGCCATGTGGTTTGAAAATTTTAAATGAAAATTTCTTCAAGCAAACAATTCATACGTTTTAAGTTACTTTTGTTGTAGTACATTGTTATAATTGTTTTATTTTATTATTAGTTACTATTGCTAATCTGTCACAGTGTCTAACTTAGAAGTGAAGTTTTATCATAGGTATGTATGTTGAGGGAAAAAATGGTATATTTTTCTACCCAACTTTTGGGAATGCTCTGGGATCTGGGATTGTACCTCCTGTGGATACGTGGTGACCATGAGTTAGGTAGTTTATGAAGAGCTCTTCAAGACTATATAGATGTCCTAATTCTGCATCTGTTGTAACCTGGCTGTTTGGGGCCGCTGTCAGCCTGATGTGTTTGGGTGACTCACACGCTGTTTCTTTCCCCAGTGGTGATCATGTGCGCCAGCGGCGACACCGTTCGGAGCATCATGTTGGCGGTGCACAGACATGGCATGACCAGCGGAGACTACGCCTTCTTCAACATTGAACTCTTTAACAGTTCTTCCTACGGTAACCGTGTCCCGCTTCCCCAACTCTGTTCAAATGTCAGAAAGAGGGATGAGAAAGAGTCAAAGGCTTTAGTGAGGTCTATAGATATGATTTCAGTTACTATGGGAACCACATTTGCTTTAGAAAATTCATGATTCTGAGCGCTTCTACAATGAATGCCTCATAGTTTCTCGAGCTTTTCATCTTTTCCAAGAACCCAGTGGGAGCAAAAGACACCATGTACCTGGGGTGTCAAGGAACTTCTGTGTGGGTCAGCATAGTCCGTTCCTAACTCCACAGGAATATACAATACATGCAGGCACTAAATGTCCTTGTCATAGTAGATTGCCAGAATAATTTAAGTGTGATTTGGGATGGAATTTTAGGTAGCAGGAACAGATTAGAACATAACGATGTAGGACAGAATATGTCAATGTGTGCCATAGTTATCATATGTATTGCTTCATAAAACTTTCAGTAATATAACAATATAAAAATATATATAATATTTATTCATATTACACATGTGTCTCTTATAGGCCACAATAGGAAATAAAATAACAAATACTGCAAGTTTTGACAAAAGCACTTGGAAGTCACTTGGAACCCTCTTTTCTTGTAGCTTACTACACCTTAATCCTCTCTTAAGTAGGATTTCACGAGCCACTTACAAATAGGGTGAAGACATCTTTGATTCCTTATAATGGATTTAGGGAAACTCCCAAGGTCTGTGTAATAGAGGATTAAATTTTTTTTTAAATAAAATAAGTATTTATCTGTATCTGTTTGGGTGTTTTGCCTGCGTGTATGTCTGTGCATCACATGTATGTCTGTGCATCATATGTATGTCTATGCGTCACATGTGTGCAGTGTCCAAAGAGGCCAATAGAGGGCATAGGATACCCTGGGAACTAGCATTACAAACTGTTGTAGGTCATGTGGATGCTGGGAGTTGAATCTGGGTTCTCTGGAAGAGCAGCCAGGGCTCTTAAGCCCTGAGCCATCTCTCCAGTCCTCCATGTAATGGAAGAATGCTTAAGGGGCTCATCATGATCACAAATACAAAACCTTTTCCTTCCACTGTAGTTAGGATGCTCTCACTTCAGGACTACAGGACATTTCCTCAAACATACACACTGGCTGCTCAAAGCCACACAGCTCCAAAGCTGCAAACGTGCAGATCACAGATGGCATGTTTATGGCGAGCTCTACTTCCGAGTGCTTGCTGATGATATATAGTTATTTAGATAGGCTCCAAGCCTTTAAACATTCACTGTGGTTTCCTGCCCTGACTTCCTGGCTTACTTAAGCAGTGATCATTGTGTATATACAGATAATATAACATACTTCTGGGGAATAAAGAAAAGTTGATGAAACAAAAGTAGCCACCGCTTCCTGTGATGGACAGCCCTGGAGATGTGGTGCTTGAAGGATAAATGCAATATTTCGTGCTGTTTGCTATCGTTATAGTCTTTCCCTTCCTCCTTTCCGTTAAGTGGGATGCTGCCCTCGCTCATTGACTTAAGACCAGGATGTCATAATACTAACAGCTGCAGCATCGAGTTCTTTAACACAGGGGTCAAAACAGGTTAAAGGGAAAACATCTATTCTGTCTTACAGGATGAAATACAGAATTTAAGGTGGTGCATAAGAATGCATGCTATCAAGAGACAAGCACATTTGCATGCGTTATGCATGCAGTACCTAATAACAAGTGTAACAGATAAACTCGTGTTTTGGCTTTCCCCTGTTATTATAATAAATGACCATTGCAAAAAATTTGGAAAATCTATAAAAACAACTGGAAGAAAATAAGTTAAAATTCTGCCACTCAGAGAAAAAGTTACATTGTAATTTCTTAGAAATAAGTATCTTAAAGAAAAAAGAAATATATATTTTGTCTATTATATGTATGCATATTTCACATGAATATTTTTCAATAAAATGATCATATTATGTACACCTACCTAGTACATCTTTAATTAATCTCTATTTATTAACACTGCTCCCAGCCTCTTGTTATTAAGAACAGTATGTATTGAATAGTCTGATGTGTATATACACTAATAGTCACACAGTTAGACATATATTACATATTATACAATATAAATTCCTTGAGGTACAAATGTTGGCTCAATTGTTATATGCAACCATTGATAGGATTGGTAACTTTCCTCATACAGAGGTTTTTACCAATTTATATTTTTGGATAATGAGGAAATTTTCTGTATTCTTGTATCCTTTATCAGTTTTGCAAGTTATAACTTTATTTATTGACATTTATATTTTTAATTTTTATCCGTGTGTGTGTGTGTGTGTGTGTGTGTGTGTGTGTGTACACTTGCTGTGGTGTGCATGTGGCGGTCAGATTACAGTTTTATGGAGCTGTCTCTTTCCTCCCACCTTCATGTGAGTTCTGGGGACTGAATGCAGGTCATCAGTTTGGGTGGCAGGTGCCTTTACTTGCTAAGCCATTGTACAGGCCCATTTTATTTATTTATTTATTTTTAAAATTTTGTTATTATCATTTTAATATATATATATATATATATATATATATATATATATATATTTTCCTGCATGTATGTCTGCGTACCACTTGTGTGCCTGGTGTGTGCCTGGGGGGGCTGGAAGAGGGCATTGGATCTCTTGGAACTCAAGTTACAGACAGCTGTGATCTGTCATGTGGGTGCTGGGAATCAGACCGGGGTTCTCTGGAAGAGCAGTCAGGGCTATTTATTCTGTGCCATTTCTTCAATATCCCCTTTCCAGTTTTATTTTTAATATACACATTGTAAAATTATATTTAAAATTTTTAGAAATATAAAATTAACCACTTTTAAAATTTAAATTTAAATTTTTTTTTGAGACAGAGTCTCTCTATGTAGCCCTGGTTATCCTAGAACTCACTGTGTAGGCCAGGCTGGCCTTGAATGCACAGAGATCCACTGGACTGTCTCCCAAGTGCCAGTATTAAAGGCATATGACACTATGCCTGGGAAAAACTAACTACTTTAACCTGTGACTTTTAGACTTATAGAAAACTTGCAAAAGTAATACAGAGCTCATGAATATATATCTTTACATTTAGATTATTTATTTATACATTAAAAAACTTCTTATTCCATGGATTCAATTTTTGTTTTCTTTTCAATATTTTGTTTGTTTGTTTTAGATCTATGTCTTTTATGTTATGTGTGTGGGTGTTTGCCTGGCATGTAAGTGAGTAAGTAAGTAAGTAAGTAAGTATGTATGTATGTATGTATGTATGTGTGTATGTATTTATGTATGTATGGCGCCCACAGAGGACGAAGACCGCATCTGGTTGTGAACCACCATGTGGTGCTGAGAACCAAATTCAGGTCCTCTGCTCTTAACAAGCCATCTCTTTAGCTCCAGTTTTGGTTTCTTGAAAATTTAGTTGCAAAATGGTTTCACACAAATCACAATGCATTCTTGATGTTTCTGATGACATCTGCATTACTTTACAGTTTACTGTACACTTGCTCAGACTTTGGACTCTGATCCCAATTAGCCTGAAAGACTGACCCATATTCTAAGTCTTAATTGCTAAGACCTAAGAGTTAACAGCTAAAAGTCAATCTTTGAACAATGAGTTAACCTGCATTCCCCTGCCACCTTAGTCTCTTCTAATGATCAGGCTGAGCAACAAGTGAACAAGTGAGAGGATGTTTGTTAACTACCCGGCAGACCTGAGGAAATGCGGAAACTATGTAACAAATATTTGCAGTTTTCATTGTTAGTCTTACTTTGCTTTGACCACTGCACATGGAACTTTAAAAACAGTACTTAAGTGTTAAAACTTTTCTCTGATGGTGGTTCTGTTTCATGTGGTACAATCTGCTTCTGCAGTCACTGACTTTCAGCTAATCCACCCGAAGGGGCTGCATGCATTATGAATTACACCCACAAGTGAATAATCATTACACTCAACTAGAGTGACGAACATGTAGAGCTTTCTTCTACCTGAAAGAGCTCTGGAGGAGGGAAGTCCAGGTTAGGGATCTGAGTCTATAAAGTCATTACTGCTACAAGTTTCTTATGTTTCCTGTCTCTGTTTTCATTTATCAAAGACTGTGGCCAGGGGTCATGCCTTAATTCTAGTCAAGGTAGGTCAAGGTTAGCAGACGAGGGATACGTTCAGGTGACTCCGTTCTCTTTGTTGGCTACCATGGAAGCTCTGCTCAACTTCTGGTTGTTTGAGGTTGGCTACCCCTGGATAAAAGCCAGGTCAGAAATTGTATTCTCAGTTGGACTCCAAAGCCAAAGTGGGATTCTGTGAGTAAGGAGGGAGAGATGGTGGGTGTAGTGTGGTACCTTTCTATGTCTTCCACAGACCCTGAAGCATCTTCTTCCTCGGAGCAGGAGTGACCAATGGGATCATACAGTGGGCAGGGTCACCTGAACCAGCACTCCAGAGGATCCAGATCCTTCTTTGATAATTTAAACCCCCATAATCAGAGCTGTGATTCCAAAAGCTTTCCTTATGGCACCTCATACAAACTGTGTACTAGTTCTAAAGCAGTGGTTCTCAACCTTCCTAATACCGTGACCCTTTAATACAGTTCCTTATGTTGTGGGGACTCCCCAACCATAAGATTATTTTGTTGCTACTTTATAACTCTAATTTTGCTACTGTTATGAATCATAATGTAAATATCTAATTTGCAAGATATCTAATATGTGACTGACAGAGGGGTCACGACCCATATGTTGAGAACCTCTGTACTAGAGGCACATCATCCGTTTTCACTGGTACTTTTAGAAAACATAGTCGACAGTGTGTCTATTTTCTTTGATTACTAAATGTCTCAATCTTGGTGAGACCTCAGAATTTATCTCCGGACTTGCCTAAATTCTATGGCAACAAGAATTCCATGTATAATACGATATGGGGGAATTAAAGTGCTTGAAGGGATTTTAAAACTGGACTTAAAAAAAATCTGGAGGGTAGACGATCGTATTGCCTTACAGATGTTTTCACAGCATCGGCTGGCATT